GTGGTTATAAAAGGCTTCTACCCCCTAGGAACGAGGTATGCTAACTTTCGCGCTATCTGGTTATTCTTGCCTTTGAAGGATTCTAACTTGAGCTTCGGAGCCCTTACGCCGGGTTTTCCCTGGAGCTTCTCTTCTCCCTCCGTTTCAGGTCCCTGTTACTCAGTTCAGGGGCAAGATCATCGATAGCTAAGACTGGCCAGATTGTGCATCATCACTTGGCATGAAGATCCAAAATCTTAATAAATTAGTCATTATTCAAAGTTAAATAAAAAAAAATTGAAAGGTTATGACATAGTTAAAACCTGCATATACCAAAATCAATCATTCTAAACCTCTAGTAACACAAGACTAAAAATTACTATTTCCAAGAGATCAATATTTCCATTTCATTCATAGGAAGTGATTAAAAGTTTTAAAAAAGTTATTTAAACAACTAAAGAAAATTGAAAGTGAATGACAAACATGGATGAATGATTTGCAAGCGGTGGGGTGCTCTAACATCTATTCAAGCGATGGATTGAAATAGATGTAATACTTTCAACCAATTGATACAATGACTTACAGAATGACAGGGTCGAAGGAGAACCAAATGATTGTTACAGTCATTGTTCGACTGAACGATGATTCTCTAGTATACTATGATTTCGGTGTAATAGTGTGGTTTGTATGTAGATGGTTGAGGCCAACCTTGCTGACGTGGCCTATTGAGGGGCCTGAGTAGGGGAAGGGAAGGGAAGGAAAGAGAGAGAGAGAGAGAGAGTAGGGATGGGGAAAGGAAGGAGAGATCGAGATTTAAGGAGAGAAGAGAAAAAGGGAAAATGGGAGGAGAGGGCTCTTGATGTATAGATATAATGCTAGCGGGGACTCATGTGATGCACGGGCTTTATTAAGTGAAAGTTGAACAATATAAATACATAATAGTAGACAATTGTTTTATATTTTAATTTTTTAAACAACTAATAATTATTTATATTTTATATACTACTTTTAATAATTATTGCAATACAATAATAATAATAATAATAATAATAATAATAATAATAATAATAATAATAATAATAATTAATTTCAGCTAGGGTTCATCAAACCGACCCAAGTCAACCCGAGTTGATCAGCTTTCTAGTATTTCCAATCGTTTTAGTTCAACAATTTCCCAACCTAACTAGATTGGGTCAATTTTGGTTTGGACATTTGTAAAACGACCAAAATCGAACTAATCCGGCCATAGATATATTATTAAAATGTTATATTTTAAGGACAATTTTTCTAATACAGGGAAGTGGGAAAATCCACATATCTCTTAGTCTAAAATATTTTATATTATAAATTTAAAATTTTAATTTATTTTTTTTCAATAATATTTGTTGTAATTCTTTAAATTTGAAATTATTTTTTTTTAAGTTTAAATCTTTTGAACCAACTGACCTAAACTAATACAACTTGAGTTGGCCGGTTTTCACTAATGGTCGATCAATTTTAAGTGACCATGCCCCCAAGCCTACCAAGTGAGTTTGGCTGGCTAAACAATTTGTAATTGAATCGACCTGACTCATGAGCACTCTTAATTTCAACTAAATTAATAGTTAAATCTCTAGTAAATAACAATAATTTAATCTCCAATAATTATTGATAATTTATAACAAAAATGCATAATTATTGAAAATAAATTTATGATGAAAGTACAATAAATAATTAAAATTTTCCATTGTTTAAATTTTATTTATTTGAAAGTTATGACATAATATTAAACACTTTTTTATATAATTATTTATTTGTTTTAATATTATTATTTAAAATATTAAGTTATTCAAATATTTTAAAGTTTTATAAATAAATTTAAATAATTTTGTTGTTGAAATTTTAAAATATTATTTAGTTATTACATAACATTAAATAATTTGTTATATAATTATTTAGCTATTTTTAATATTTTGTTGTTAAAATATTTAAATAATATTTTTTTAATTTTTACTATTTAAATAATCTTGTTACTAAAATTTTTAATCCATAAAATTATAATTTTTATTGTTATTACATAATTTTTAATCCATATAATTATAATCTATATTATCATTACATAATTTCATTATGAATTTCATAAATATAAAATTATTAATAATCTAAATATCATTAAATCTATCATATTTTTTTTTTGTTTTTAATAAATACTTTAAAGTTATTATATAATTTTGTTATAATATTTAAAATTATTAATTCAAACTTTCTTTAGTATATACAGATGAAAAATGGCGGAGAGGATAAATAAGAATCAGAGAGAATTTAGGAAAAAGTCTTCCTAAATTATAGATAATTTAAAAGATAAATATGAATTAGAGATAATTTAGGAGAAAAAAGTTTTTCTTAAATTAGATAGATAAATATGAATTAAAGATAATTTAGAAGAAAAAAGAGGATAATAATAAAAGATGAACATATAAAAAATTCGAGGAGGAAATTAGCTAAGCGGTGATGATTTAGGAAAATGAAAAAGATGGAATTCTAATAGAGAATGAGAGAAGAGAGTACTGAGGAGGAGATATATAGAATTAAGGAAAAACAGGGTAATGGAAACGTGGCCTATATTGATATATAGAATATTATAGATACATGGTATATATTAGATGGATTAGATTAGATTCACATGGGAGCATATAAAGGTTTTGCTGACGTATAAATCCGACAACGTGTCATCAATTTATCGAACTCAAAGGAAATCTGTTCGAGTCGAAAGTGGAAACGCAGACGATTCGGACTGCGAAACCATCTCCCTGTGCTCTAAGCTAAAATGACTAAAGTGACCTTTCACTTTCTCACTTCTCAGAAAATCACTTTCTGTTCTTGTCTTCAAGTTTTAACTTTTAAGTATCTTTTACTCTGTTGCAGAGCCTCCATTAAAATCTCTCTCTCTCTCTCTCGTACGCAAGGTATGGCTTGGATATTCCCAATAAAAACTAGCTGCTTTCCTTCTCATGTTTTTACAACATTCTTTTCCTCTACTCTGCAATTTCCATCCTCTCGTCTCCCGTTCTCGCCGGAGTTCACGGGGAAGTTCTCGAGGATCCGATGTGAGTTCGAAGTAAAAGGAAATGGTGCTCTCTTTGGCGACACAGACCCCCGTTCTATCGACCGAGTAAGTTTCTCTCTTCTCATTTTCACAGTCCCCATGTAACTGTATGTAGTTGAAGACGTCTTATTATCGCCAGGTAACTATCTCGATAGGAATCCATGTCAGAGTTTGTTCAAACTGTAGTCCCATCTCTGTTTTCTTAAAATACAATTTAGTAAAACTCAGATTCTATGGTTCTTCTTTGCTCAAATTAGTCCCATGGTTCCTATTGACCAAAAATTTAGTAGAGATATCGGATGCTATTCCATGCTTAATATGCATACCTTGTTGATTTTTATTTAGTAACGTTGTGCTTTTACTCTTGAAGTGTTAATATTGAAGTGATTTTGTAACTAGGAATTGGTAGGAAGAAGAAACGCCCATGTGTAATGGTCAATGGAAACGAATTTCACACCAATGATAGAACTTTTAGCTTTGGTCCATCCTACAGTATTTTAGTCCGATTTTGGTTTTGCTTGAATGACATGTAAATGGTCAATGGTTTTGCTGGAATGCTGTAAATCCCATCTTTGGTATTAGTTGGAAGTATACATTCAGACTTGGAGCACATTGGTTTTCAATTATTATCAGTTATCATATTTGTTATTCCATATACTATTCTCTACATTATACAACTACGTATTGGAAACTCCATTTGAAACCTTCTTGATTTTGTTTGGATTGCAGTTATGTTCTGCCTTTTTTTTGATCAATAATGTTCTGCTTTTTTTTTTTTTTGATAGTTCATTCATGTTCTACTTTTGCTTTTGAAGCTTTTGTGCTGGAAGTGATTTTAGTATTTTACAACTATGACCTGATGGGAAGAAAGCAAACTCATGATCACAGCATTCAGAAACCTCATAATGTTAAAGTCTATCTATTATAAAAAAACCTCTAGCTTTCTTTTTTCTTCTCTAATGTCAAGCATGTAGATTGGAAAATTCTGATTTCAATGTAAACCCTTAGCTGAATTCTGCTTGTAAGATGCAAATACTAATCCAAATTTATCACCAAATATGTAACTTAGAACTTGGGTCTCTCCTACAGTATTTGAATCCAATCTGGGGTTTTTCTTGAATGATGCCTATGGCTGCATGATTTTGCTGGAGTGTTCTGTAAATCCTACCTCAGGCATTGGTTGGAAGTATAAATTCTTTGTCCAAAGACAACAAACATTATCATGGGGTTGCCAATTTAGGAATGTAAATCTAATTGAAGTTATACCTTACATATTGCAGAATTGACATTTCAAGTGTATACATTGGTTTTTAATTGTTTTCATATTTTCAGTTTTGATGCTATAGGTTTGTTTATAGAATAAGAGAAGTCCTTTATATTCTAAAGAGTGAAAATATATTGATTTTTAAAGAAGATGCTATGGCCACTTTCCTTTTTGCTTGGGCCACTCTCCTCCATTTTTTTTAAATACATAGTGACTAGAACATTTCTTACGTCTTAACTGTTTGGTCAGTTTTTCAGTTACATGCTTTAAGTATTAAGGAGAAAAAAAATACCGTAACATGATCTCTGTAGTTAATTTAATTCCAGCACATTGGAAAACTTGGAAGGAGATCTGCAGACTTGCAGTAGTAGGTCCCTTTTATTTCCAAGAAGACATGTGTTTATCAAATACTTAACAAGAAGCCTGTACTATTTCAATCAATATGCAGTTTAGATGTGAAAGGCACAATATCTGAACTGAGATTAACTTGTCTAGGCATTGAAACAAGTGGGGAAAAAATTGACGGGGGAAAATAGCCATGGTTATTCTGGCAAAAGTTGATATGGTTGTGAACCCCTGCAAAATAATTTATAATTCATAGATTTTTGAAGGCTGTACCTTTATGATAGTATTGTCATGAAGTCATATTTGGTTATTATTGTTTATTACTGGCAGACTATGCTAACCTTATGGAGGTAGATCTGATAGTGCATACCTACTTCCATATCAAGTATGCAGATCATTGCCATCACCATCCTCATCATCTGGCTACATGAATCCTGTTTTGCCATTCCATTCTGTTCAGTGCGATATCCATTGTTAAATTATGACCCCTTAAATCATTTCGTACTACAACCCATGCCCATTTTGGTCTGCTCCTACCTCTTTTAGCCCCATCAACTTGTAACATATCACTTCTTATGGGTGCTGTAGATGGTCTTCTTTGCATTGACCAAATCATCTATTGAAGCTGCTACTTGGTTCCTTTGAATCAGTAAATCAGTAGGGGGTCATTGCTTGGTGCAACGGTAAAATCTTGGGCTGATAGCATGAGATATGGGTTTGAATATGAGAATAGTCATTTCATGCAAAAATGCCAAAGGTTAGGCCTGTCCCCAATCCACTCACTGCTATTAATGCAGTGTGGTTATGCTGGCTAGTTGTTCGTGTCCTAAAATTGTCATCGTCATCATCCAATCCTCATCCCAACTATATGGGGTTGGCAAAATGAATCCTGTTTTGTCATTCTGTTATATTTAATTCCATATCCATTGTTTAATTATGGGCAGTTAAATCATTTCCAACTATTTCGACCCATGTCCTTTTAGGTCTGTTCCTAGCCCTTCTAGCCCCTTCAACTTGAAATAGATCATTTCTTCTTACAAGTGTTGTTGTTGGTCTTCTATGCATGTGACCCAACCATGTTATTCTATTTTCTCTCATTTTATCACCTCTTGGATCTACTCCTAGGTTCTTTTCAAATCACTTTATTTATGATCCTATTCTTTTTCAGTTTTTCCACTCATCCATCTCAGCATACACATTTTTGCCACACTCATTTTTTGGACATGTTTCTTGATTGCCCAACATTTTGTTCCGTACAAGCAAAGGTGCCAACCAGCTGGTTGGTAAGGTCTCCTGCTAGGTGTAGCTGAGAATTGGGATCGAATCCCGCTTGCCACCTGGGTTGGGGATGGGCTACCCCCCGTTGTGTAGCCCTTCAAAAATAAATAAAAAAAAGCATTCTGCTCCATACAACATAGCTGGCCTTAAAAAGTTATATAAAATTTTCCTTTCAATCTAAGTGGTGTTCGTCTATCACATAACACTCTAGATGCACCTCTCCATTTTGCCCATCCCACTCTAATTCTATGGGCAACATCCTCATCAATCTCTCTTTTGTCATTAACTATCGAACCAAGGTACCAAAAAAGGTCACATTACATTATCTCTTAATTTCCAATCCTAAGTGTATCCTCATTAGCGCTCCTATTATTATTAAAGTTACTATCATATGTTCTTTTTTATTTTTTGAACAGCAACACAAAATGATTTCATTGAATGATTAAATAAAAAGAGATTACAATAGGGCAATACTTTGGCTGAAGACCTTGGAAATCTTTCATCAATTCTCCATTAATGACCTTTGGAGAAATTGGTCAGCAATAGCGAGGAGTTCATCTCTAAAGGACAAATCAATTACAAACTGGTCTCCTCCATCCGAAGGCTCACTAAAGTTGAACTTTGATGGAAGTAGCATGGGTAATCCAGGTTTATCCGAAATGGGGGGTGCTTTGAGAAATGCGAAGGGAGAGATTTTGTTGCTTTACTCAGGTCCCTTGGGATTTGGGAACTCCATCAGGGCAGAACTTTTAGCTGCTGTACAAGGGGTGCAATTTGCAAACCAGCTGGGGGTACAACAACTAATAATYGAGGGGGAYWCCAAAGTGGTGGTGGGTTGGTTGAAAAATTCTGAAGAGGCTATGTGGCGATACAAGAATGAAATGAAGAAATTCAGTTGGTTGACAAGGAATATGTTGGTCACTGTACAGTGGGTGGGGAGATCAGCAAATACTTTGTTAGATATGTTAGCTAAGCAAGGGGTAAATTTATTATTATTCATAAAAAAAATACAATGGATATTAACCATTGCATTACACACACACACACACACCCCACCACCCTATTATTAGTTGTGCACAATACATTTGCTGTTTATTTTAATCAGTTAAAATAATGTCATTAGCAAAGAACATGCATTTGGGACCTCTTCCTTAATATGTTTTGTCAATTCTTCTATGATCAATGCAAATAAATAAGGGCTAAGTGTTGAACCTTGGTGAAAACCCATTGTAATTGCAAAATCTGATGTCTCTCCCACAGATTTTCTAGCATTGGCTATTGCATCATCATTTATGATATTTATTGAATCTCATATATTAGTTAAACATAGCCTACGAATATGCAATAAAAGAGTGACATAGAACATATAGTTTACAATCTTTGTTTAGAAAATATATAGAAGGCTGGGTTAGGCTAGGGTAAAGAGTTATAGGGTTCTTTTTTCAAAGGAAGAGTTCAATCTTTGACCATTTGCTTGCTTTTTTGTGTACAACAACTCCTTACAAGCATACCACCAATTGGAAGAAAAAAGAACTCAGTGACCATCTTCTTTTATTATATGCGTTATTTCTATTTATATACTGTCAAACAATCATTTTTAAACATAAAGTTTAAAAATAACGTTATGTTTGTTTAGGTTGAGTAGTTGTTAGTTGTTAGTCAGCTCGACAACCTAGTTGATGCTTAGTTGTCTCAAGTGATTGCATCATGAGTATTGACTTGACTAGTTAGTGAAGTGGTTGGTATTGCCTCAATTGCATAGTATGGTTTTGGGCACAGTGATATTGCCGTGATTTTAACTGGGCTAATGAATTGTCCAAAGTGAAAACCCAAAACAAGAATATTCAAGAAGTTGTTTAGTCCCAGAGGAGGGATATGACAATTTTTAAGACGCCTTTTTTTTTTTTTAAATTTCCAAGGATCTTAATAATTGTACATAAGCAGTTATGTGGTTATTTTATTTGTTGACTAGAGCTATGTGGAGTGCTTATCATCTTCTTCATGTAGCAAAATGTATGTGCCAACAAAGACAGTATTCTGCAATTTTTGTTTAAGATGGTATGAACATTTTCTCAACAGACAGTAATAAAAATATTACCACATATTTGTCAGAAAAAGAGCATCCATGGCATTGTTTTGGCTTACAAACTTAGGTTAAACTGGCTGAGAACATTATTTGTCCTATCAACGAATACTTGTAGTACAGAGAACATTATTATTATTATTATTATCATTATTATTTTAATTTTGTAATCTCATGATTGCATTAACTTTTCCTTCAAATGAAAACTAATCTGATGCAAAATGGTTTACTTAAACACTTATGGTTAACAATAATAAAAAAGATCTCCATTTTAATATTTTCTCCCAGCAAAAAGCATTGGAAGCAGCAATGAACGACATAAACAATTCATTTGGAAAAGGAAGCGTTACAAGATTGGGAAGTGCTGGTGGAGCTCTAGTGTATGTTATCTATCCTTTAAGTGTTAGATGATGGATCCACAGCATGCTGCAGTGGAAAAGGACATGAACTTTGTGGATCAGGAAAAGAAGGGCATGGATGTTGCATCTTTCTTTCTGGATATTTGGGCTTGGCTCTAATCAGTATCCATGTCTTTTAGTATTTTATATTTTTCCATGACGATGGCCCTTGCATCATCATATCCCCCACTTATGATTTAATCCAGAAAGTAGAGTTAAATTAAAAAGTGTGCTTGGTGCAGTGAAACTTTTCCAAGTGGCTGTTTGACATTAGACATTGCCCTGGGTGGTGGCCTTCCAAAAGGGAGAATTGTAGAGGTAAATTCTGTTTACTTTCTGATTCCTCTTGTTCATTTAATTGATATTTTTTTTTGATATATAACTGAGAATTTTATTATTAAATGAAAAAGAAAAGTTTATAATCAAGTACACCTACAAAGATATCCCTCTTTACAAATGCCCTGCACGCCTTTCCTATATTACATAAAATATTACAAATATTTGGAAAAATCTGAAGAACATCTGATATCTAGTTGCTCCTTGCTTGGCAAATGAATCTGCCAAAATTTTTGCAGATCTTCTTACCCATTGAAATGTGACATCTAGTTTCATTGACAGCATTTGTATCTCCTTCATTATGTCCCTGTATTCCCATAAACCTTGACTGTTTGTTCTCAGCCAGCTGGTCCAGCCCACTACTACCTTTGAGTCTCTTTCTACAAGAATATTCTGGGATTTCATGTTCCTCCCTACCTTTTTTATTTAATTGATAGTTTCATGTTATAATTATATCCTTTTGGATAAGCTTATTGGTTTTTTGTTCATAAGATACTCGTGGGGTTATCTGGAATACTCAAACTCATTGCTCTCCTGATCTAAACATAAACAAGACCAGGTGTTTCTATCTGTCTGGTACAATGAAAGAAACTACATAAATGCATACTGAACTCTTTGCACAATATCAAGTGTTGAGAATATGTATTTGGCTTAGGGGTATTGTTGTCGTTTCTCTTTATTTGTATTTTGGGCACCCATATAGGGACATAGATGTAATTACTATATTTAATATAAAAAGTAATGTTTTGGGTGTGAATAGTGACACACCTTCTTCGTCTCCTTTTCTCCTCTTCCTCCCACACTCTTACAACTTGGTATCGGAGCGGGAAGGAACCTTGGATTAGTTTTTTTGTTAACTCCTGAACTTAAGAAGACCTGCCGATGTTAGATCACAACCAGATGATGCCAGCAGTCAGTATAGGTAACAGTGACAACTGTTGAAATTGGTCTACTTTGGTGTGCCTTGATTTTAGGGACTTTTGGTATGGTTCTTATCTTCACCTGATGTTCCTACAATTTTTCCCGGATTTTACAATCGGAAATTACATAAAATTATTGGTTCAATGTTTGGATTTTTTCCTCTTTGTCTGAGTTCGATGCTTGCTTGAAACTTGTGTTTGGTTCGTTTGACATTTTTGGAGGTATGGTAAGTGGTTCCACAATTTTATAATCCCTAATCTTTCTTCGGGAGGCTTTTTCCCCCTCGTATATTGCCGCCAATTTAGTTTTGGGCCTTTTATTGGACTCCAATTGAGTGTTTCCCATTTTTGGTGGGTCTTGTGCATGTCGGTTGGTTGTTGGAGTGCTGTAGAGCTATTAAGAAGCCTACCCAACTCAAATGGACATGCTCGAGGAGTTACAGACTATTTCCAGAGTGCTTTCGAGCAATGTCAATGTCTCTAGTGGTATGATAACCACTGTAAGACTTGATGGAACCAATTTCCTAGAGTGGTCTCAATTAGCCAAGCTTACTATTGGAGGGAGGGGTAAGCTGAGATTTATTACTGGTAAAGAGGGGAAATTGAAATCTGACGACCCCAAACTTACTAAATGGGAATAGGATAATTCCTTGGTTATGCCATGGCTGGTGTGTTCGATACAGCCACATATTGCCCATAACTACATGTTCCTCTCCACTACTGTACTGAGGATATTTGGGATCGATTTATAACTATATACTCTCAGGAAAAAAATACAAACCGAGTCTACCAACTTCGAAGAGAAGCTTGTAATATGTAGCCATGTACTTCTCTTCTTTGCAGTCTCTATGGGAAGAAATTGACCATTTGAAGGCCTTGGAATGGAAGAACCCTGAGGATGGTGAGCAATACCGGAAGTATGTTGAGAAGAATTGAGTGTTTAACTTCTTGGCAGGGTTGAATGGTGAGTATGATTTTACTTGACAACATATTTTGAGTGCAAATATTGTTTCTCTTGCTACTGCATACTCCTTAGTACAGGGAGAGGAGAGTAGAAGGGTTGCCATGATGCAGACCTCAGTGATGGATCATTCCACCAACATGTCTTGAAAATTCAAGTCGAGTACAAATAGACAGGGTGTTAATGAAAAGCATGATGAGGTGGTATGTGATTATTGCAATAAGCCAAAACATACGAAAGACAAGTGTTGGAAATTGAATCTACATTTGAAGCCTGAAAAGTTTAAAATAACAAAGTAGGGTAATGCTCATCTTGCTACTATTGGAGCTGATTGTCCTTCTAATGTACAATCCCCCACACATGATCCCTCCGGTTTGATGGAGAAACTTAGGATCCTACTGACTTAGCTTGATAAGTCCTTTACCTCTACTAGCTCTATTAATCCTTCCAGTGCTTTTGCAAAAACAAGTATTGCACTTGTTAATCATCTTCTACTAGCTTATGGATTGTAGACTTTGGAGCTAGTGCACATATGACTGGTATTCCTTCCCACCTCACCTCTTATAAATTGGCTCCGTGGGATGGCAAAATCACTATAGCTGATTGATCTCAGACCCCAATCTTTGGTTTGGGGTAAGTTCAACTTACTCGTGATTTTTCCTTGAGCTTTGTTCTTCACGCTCGTCAGTTGTACAAAAACCTTTTATCTGTTAGCTCTCTACCAAATCTTGTAATTGTTCAGTGACCTTTTCCCCTTCTCATGGTGTTTTCTAGGACCTGAAACGAGAGGATGATTGGAACTGGGCATGAAGCTGATAGAGTTTATCTTTTTGATCAAGCCTTTGAGCAAGGAATACTGTTCCAAACTGAGTCATGTCAAGATGAAAATTTGAGTCTTTTGAAGTTGTGGCATTGTTGCCTCGATAATGTTTCTTTTAAGTCCATTAAGTTTTTGTTTCCGAACTTGTGTCAGTCTGTGTCTGGTTTGAGTATGCAATGTGAAGTTTGTCATCTCTGAAAACAATGTACATATATCCTATAAGTAATAGAAGGATTGATGTTGCTTTCAACTTGATACACATTGATGTTTGGGGCTCATACTTTGTCCCATGTATGAGTGGCTATGAATATTTTATTGGAGCCCTCCTTGGAGTCAAGTAAGACAGGTGAGAATGGGGGAAATGCAAAAGAACACTCGCAACCTGAAAACTCACAGGGCTTAATAATAAGTAGTGCCATTAATCTACAAAAAATGGTATTGAACAATGACAGAGAAGGTTGGGAGAAGCGAAGGATAGTTAAGGCTCCAAACAAAATGATAGATTGGGAGTTTATCCTGGAATAGACTAAATCAAAAATGGAAGCTCACTCTGAAGTTTATCTCTTTCCGTTTGATGAAAGGAGAGCATTATTGGACATTGACGGCGGGAAGATTGACTTCTATATAGTAGAGACTGGCATGGGGCTAGTGTTGATAAAAAATTGGTTCCCTTCTTGTAATATTGGAGATTTGGATGTGGGAACATTTGAAATTAACCTTGGTCTTCCATTCAACCTGTGGAAGGTTCCATGTTTTGAGAAGATAGCAGAGTCATTGGGCGGTGTTCTAGTTGAATTTGAGACTATTAACCTTCGAGCAGTGAAGCTCAAGGTGGCAGAGGTGAAGCCATACCTGGTTGCTTGATCGGTTGATGTATCCTTTGATGGGGAGTGGCACAAAGTGTGGCTTACAAAAAAACTTGAAGCGCCACTATGGGGATTGGGGTGAGAGGTTGAAGACAACAATGATTTGGATAAAAACTCTTGATATCTTCCAAAGTTTTACTTTACGTGACTGATATAATAAGGACATGGAATGAGGTGGCACACTCTTCTAAAGCAAAGGAAAGAAAGATGATGGAATGGAAACCCCCAACAAGGGATAAAGTTAAATTTTGACAGGAGGTCTATGGGTAACTAGAGAATGGTAGGTATTGGTGGTGTGTTTAGAGACTCAAGCAAATTGTTGGCTATGTACTCGGGACATATAGGAGAAGGGGACTCACTAAAGGCTGAACTGGTGGCACTATTACAAGGCTTGAAATTTACTAAGCAATCAAACTTTAGAAACCTGGAAGTTGATGGAGACTCCAAAGTGGTTATTTCTTGGACCACTTCTAGAAATAACGTACCTTGGATTTATGGACATGCCTTAAGGGAGATAAAAAGCCTGAAAATGGACTTGGATGCCTCTCTTACTTGGACAAGTAGGATGGCTGACATTCTAGAGCAAGGGGTATTTAGGCAGCAATTATTTTGGGCTCTATTGTAAATTGTTATCGGGCATTGTTGTATTACGGTTCTGTATTCTTGGGTGAATGGATATCCACTCTGTTGTAACTTATTTCTTTCACCTGGTAATATAATTAATCTTTTGTTGATAAAAAAATAGAAAAACCTATGATCTAGTGGATTGGGAGTTCCTAATTAACATCTTGAGAAGTTCTGGTTTTGGAGGGTTGTGGTGCAAGTGGATCAAAGGATGTTTTTATACAAGTATCCTTGTGAAAAAGATTGGGTGTAAGCACATACCATCCAAAGTTTAAGTATTGTGCTTCTTGGGAAAGTGAAAACTTGTGAAATGCGTGAAAAGAGGAGTCCGAATAAATGCCTTTCTCCATGTGTGCTTCTTTTGTTTTATCCTTACTCCACTTACTATCTCTTGTCCCTTTGTGCTTTTTATTTGGGAGTCTTTTTGCTCTCTTTTTGGTTGCAAGCAGACAACTCCTCAAGATGTAGTCAGCCTCTTCAATCCAAACTTCCTAAGGTAGCCAACAAAAAGAGGGGTAATAATGTAGAAAACGGTTAGAGCAGTAGTGGTGTGGACCATTTGGGAGGACAGAAATGCAAGAATTTTTAATGAGAAACATAGGTCAAAGGAGGAAGATAAAAGTGGCTCATTGGATAAAAACTCTTGATATCTTCCAAAATTTACTTTACAACGACTGATATAATAAGGGCATGAATTTGGTGGCCCACTCTTCTAAAGCAAAGGAAAGGAAGATGATGGAATGAAAGCCCCCAGCAAGGGATAAGATATATTTAGATTTTAACAGGAACTC